ATTTATTCATCCGCTCTGAATGACGCGCTCTTACATTGACGGACTAGGTGAGGTAGACACTAAATAAACACAAAATAAACAGAGAAACAAGAGGATCGAAGTCAGACCATCCATTACAGCCATCATAGAAAATAAGCAAACCAGCCCTTTTGGCGTTTCTGCTGGGGCCGTATGCTGAATGTTGGGGAGGGGATGGGGTCCCCGACGGTCGACGGACTACTTCAACTCGGTCCTTAAAACCGCCACAATTTGGTGCTTACCTCAGAACTAAGCCTTAAAGAGAGGACGGGTCCGTCCCCTCTCCAAGGCTTAGTCCTGGGGTAAGCAAACCAGCCCTTCTGGCGGAGCTGCTGGACCAGCTGCACCACTTGCGTCAGTACTCTCCTATCGTACCAACCGAGTTGAAGTAAACCGTCGACCGTTGGGGACCCCATCCCCTCCCCAACATTCAGCATACGGCCCCAGCAGAAACGCCAAAAGGGCTGGTTTGCTTACTTCCCATCATAGTAGTGAAAAAACAGATCAGCGCTGTTGTTGAGAAAACTCTCGATTTTCGCTTCCACTATATCCGTACCCTTGAAATACTTGAGGTTGAGCTCGGTTGTACATACTCGCCATTAACATCAGCCGGCATCCACAGATTTTTTTTCTAATTTTTGATTGCTTATTTGGAGCAGATGTAATATTGAGAAAACTCCAAATCAGTACCGCCGGAATATTGAAAAGGCTTCGTACGAAACTCCTGGAAATACCACTCTTCGAAGCTGCAAACAATGACCAGCGCCAACTACGCTAAGAACTGCGTTAATAGCTTATCCAGGGTAACTCGCAGAGCCGAGTGATGAATTGGAGGAGCATCAGAGATTGTAAAGTTTTTCTTGAGCACAAAGGTCTTTATGGGAGCACCTAGTCGCGAAAATGCTTGTAAAATTGTGGTAGTATTTTGAACTACGCAAGCGGTACCTAGTATGTAGAACAACAGAACAGCAATCTGCCAAGACACAGTGTGCTCTTTTGAATGATTACTTTGTGTTGTAGAAGCCTTTGCGAGGAATACACAACCATGGATCATTTTTCCTGAACGCTTCGAGGAATGCCAAAATACCAAAGAATTGGTCCGAAAATCGGTTTCTCGTGATGACTGTTACAACTTAGGTTGGCGCCTTGCCGCCAAATGGCGCCAGGTAGACGTCACCCTGAAGTTCGCCACGATCGAAATTTGGATCATTTCTTCAACACTTTTTTGACACTCCTAATAGCGTTCAGGAGAAATGGTCCATGGTTTTGTGTTGCACGAGCGAGCCCCTACAACATGCGAAAAAGCATTTCAAAAAAGTGCTTCCCTTTAAAGACCTTCACTCGCTAGTACGCGCTCGTTAAGGCTCGGCGACAGATGAAGCCAACACCGTCCGGGGCTCAGCTGGCTTTGCAAGCTTAAAGAAAGATTATTTCCCCGTAGCTACAGTGCATCACAGTGGCTCTTCCATCATTACTCCGTGCAAGCTAATGACGCGATGTTTGATTCGGTGGGCATCGTCGATAAGTTACGATAAGTTTCGCTTACAAGGTCGTCCAGGGCAAGCCGCGGCTTTTCAAAACGGTTTTTCGCATGTTATAGAGACTGGCGCGTAGACTACAGAAAAAAGTTCATTTTCGCTGAACGGCCCGAAAGGCCAAAAAGTGGTGAGGAAATGGTCCAAGGATCAATCCCCGTGATGACAAAATTTTTGCAATTCAGTTGGAGCTTCCAGATTTTCTCCAAATAGCACCATCGCCGAAAGTGGGCTTCATATTCATCGTTAGGCCAGTAACTATTACATGCGGGTTTCAATTGGCATCCGGCGAAAAAAAAGGTTGTAACTCTTGAAAGGCGAAAAGGTGCCGAAGTGGCGTAAATTGGAGCCATCCGGGAAAATGGATGTCATATTCGTGATCAGAACATTGGATATAATCGACGTAAAGGTTCTGGGAAAAAATGAAATTTCGAGCCAGATCCGAAATTCGGCCAATGACAAGTCGGTCAAAAAAATTCCACTACAGAATGGACAATGGCAAATACCCAAGCTGGTGATGGACCACAGGACCCGCATGAGTTGAAGTCGACAGATTCTTCTCTCCTTCAAGACGTGATATGTTGGGTCCTCGCTCTTCCACTCGTAGGGCTCATCTCATAGCTGGAGCGATTTCAAGGACACGACGTGATGAGAGATGTTCTCTATGAAGTCGAGCTTTAGCTTCCGTCGATCATCAGCGTGTCTCGCTTAACTTTCGCGCCGCGCTCGTCTTCAAGTCGCTCGCTGGGGTGCATCTTGCGTAGCCCATTGTCACCTCCATTTCTTAAGTTAGGTCAACATCTCGATTCCCGTCGAAATTTTGCCTATAGGGATATAATAAGGAGCTGATCACGCATGTGGCGGCCATTTTGGAGTCGGCGCCATTTGGCGCTGCAGGCTCATTCAAACAGTCTCTGATAGCAAACCCATTTGCAGGGGCTGCTCCTGATTGTGGATATAGCGTTGGTTTTGACGACTAAGCAATTTGACGCTGATTTGGAGCTAAAAATGCAAGTTTGCCGTAAAGCAGAGTCAAACCATAAAGTCCATTCCATCGAGCCAACCCGCGACCACCACGCTAAGCACTTGACCACCTGACCACATTGAGTGGAATGATGCCGACGACGCTTATGAAACATCCTTACCTTTCCTAGCACTGTCACTTACACTACTTCAATTTAGGGCGAATTACACATTGCTTTCAAAACCATCTTCATCAACATCCTCAAATATGCGGGATCTTCTAGACAAATTCAAAACCGTAACTCCTAAGCTGCAAAACCGCAAGTTTTTGCCGTAAAGCAGAGTCAAACCATAAAGTCCATTCCATCGAGCCAACCCGCGACCACCACGCTAAGCACTTGACCACCTGACCACATTGAGTGGAATGATGCCGACGACGCTTATGAAACATCCTTACCTTTCCTAGCACTGTCACTGACACTACTTCAATTTAGGGCGAATTACACATTGCTTTCAAAACCATCTTCATCAACACCCTCAAATATGCGGGATCTTCTAGACAAATTCAAACCGTAACTCCTAAGCTGCAAAACCGCCCATTATTCATAATTTTTCGACCCTTTTTTAGCCTTCAGGGGGCGGCCGTTCAGCGAATTTGAAACGCAGTTTACAGTCCGCACTAGAGCCCCTACAGCATGAAAAAGGTGTCTAAAAAGGGCGGCCTGCCCTGAAATACCTCCCTTGCTGGTTCCGTTTCCTTTAATAACCTAGGGCGCTGAGATTTCCTCACCTTTGGCTGTGTGGTGATCCAACGCTACGTGACTTGCCAGTGGCGCCTACAGGAACTAAGACGAGCATGAGAAGCAGTCGTGCAATTCTCGGCATGATGGCCTTATTAGAGCGTTCCTGGTGATGAAGAGGAGCGTCGTGTCACCAAGAGCATGAGCACTTCGGGTTTATCAGTTACGGGAATCGGTTGGGGTTCCGGCTCTCGAGCTCGTACATCACAGCGAGGAAGATATGTCACGGAGGATACAAAAGATCGCAAACGGCAAGCAGAACTTTTCAACTGAACGTTGTTACCGGTTCTCAGCTTCGTAGGAGACCTGAGTGGCTAGAAATGCAACCGAGTCCGTTTAAGCATCGATCAATCGATGTCTTATGGGTCTTTAAAGGAGGACGGCATGGTCGAAGGTCGAAGAAGGAGAAGTTTACCCAGTAGAAGGACAGGCGGACCTCCCATGGGTGTGGACGGGGACCAATTCGCAGCGAAATATGTACCTCCGGCGACCTAGCGTGGCCCTCCTCGTGGCACTGTTGGCGCAGTACGCCAGCGACTGGCTAACAGCTTGTCGCAGCTGCGAACAGTAAATAATGCTGGAGGAAGCACTACCTGGGACCTTGCTGTTGTTGCCAAAATGCAATGCAAATAACCGTAGAACTTCATCGTTTTAGTTCCAATTGCACTTACCCTTGCGTCAAATTTACTAGGGAACTATAATAGCGCACCCTCTACAGAAGGATGGCTGAAGAGACCACTGTCACGCTCTTGGACGATGCACCATGGGCGCAACAAAAGCGCTGGTTGAGTTCCTTTTTGACATACGAGTTTTTCGGCATTAAAAAATATAACAATGACACTCAGCAATTGTGTGGACAGGCAGGCCTTGAAGAAAACTAAGATACGCATACCTAATTTAACTTGAAAAGTATAAAGACCTGAGAAGGATGCACATCCTGGAAGACAGGCAAATCCGCAAGAAAGCGCAAGTTTTACAACTAGTGTGCCGAGGCGCATTGAGACTTACTTCTGATACAAGTAATTAAAGCTCTGCCACCATTATCGACACAAAAGATAGTAGGTAAGGAGTAAAAGTACGGAAAATGCAACTTCCTACAAGCAAACCCATTTCTAAATCTATCTGAACAGACGGGCTGGCCAGCCACATAGGTAGCGTAGGCAATTTTCGTGCAGCAGTTCTTGCCGACTCCGAATACCTCAGCTTCTCTGCACCCTAGTGGGCCGCCTTCCTATCAGACAATGTGTAGTACTGGAAGCTGTACTTTGATGCAAGTCTCAAGCACTACATAGAAAATGTTCTATTTGTAAGATATCTATAATATCAATAATCATCGAAAAAGGGCTATAGGTTTCGCTGCTGGGTGATTTTCGCAGGTTTTTAGCACAATTACTTTTTCGCTCTCGTTCGATGGTAGCGTGAGCATGGCATGACTTCCGAAGGGTAAAGTTCATGTCGACAAAACGTGTGTTCATCGACAAATACTTTTTCTTTCCATTCCATTGCTCGAAAGAACACACAGATGATCACATGAGGTAGACCGTGAGCTCGCATCAGCTTTTTTTTATGCTTCTTAAAAATTTCACAACTTAGGGATTTATTAAACATTCCAATAACCGTCTTAATTGAATAATTAAATACAACGTAGTAGATAACAATGAGTGGAAAACAGTAGTCGTTGGAATCAACCCATAGAATCTACAGACAATTCCACTCGATACCCAGCCACTACAGCTGCATCTGTTCTGTACCAGCAGACTGAAAAGGCATATTTGTAGAAAAAACTGGGTTGCGCACAAATATGCATAAAGTGGGCTAAAGTATTTTGAAGAGCG